GATTTTCCTGGTTGTCAGCATTCTGAACTGGCGCTTCATAAGCACTCTGTTCAGCTGTCGCAGATCTAGAATGGGTCTGAGACCCCCGTCTTTTTTCGGTACCAGAAAATATCTGCTGTATAGCCCCCCTTCGCTCTGAGCCTGAGATAAAGGTTCTATGGCCCCTTTGCTCCGCAGTTTCGCTATTTCGGCTTGAAGTAGATGAGATACTTCGTTGTTTACCGTGGTTTCGACTCGCGCCGTGTAACGGCAGGGACGTCGAGCGAACTGTAGCGAATAGCCTCTTTTTATAGTGTTCAACACCCATTCTGATACCCCGGGAAGCTTTGCCCACGCATCTGCGTGAATAGCTAGGGGTAGAATGAAATCCGGGCTCTGGGCGCAGCATAGCGGCGGCTGCAGAGCTTCGGTGTGCTGAGACATAAACACTGTGTTTATAGTTTATAGATCACGGCGGGCAGCCTGGTCGCGCTCGAATTCTCTATGACAGGTTGTGGAAAGAGCGCGAAAGGGACAAACCCCGTGGGGTTGAGCGTGTCTGTGAAGGAATGTGGGCGCGGGACGGCGGACACATTCACTGCACTGAGAACACCGTCGGCTTGTGCTGACTGAATGCGTGTCGGTTTCGTTTTTACAGAAAACGAGGGACACGCATCGTGTAGTGTTTGTGGGCACTGTGTCGTGGGCACATTCACTACATTTTTGCACAATCGACATGAGTCGATTTTATTTGTGCTAGCCCTGAACTGTGGCGGGCTGTGTCTGTGTCTGGGAATGGGCACTGAGACGTGGGCATTCTTACAACACTCATAACACCATCGGCCGTGGCCGGAATACCAGAAAATACACTCTTTTGGGATTTATCTGGGTCGCCGTAAAAATGGCATTTGTGTGCAGGCAAGCGGGCTGTGGTGCCGGCTTGTTTACTGCGAAATACACTGGAACAGTCACATTGTTTGGAACTGAACGAGCGAGAAGTTTCGGTGGAGTCTGGCCGCGGCGAGACTTAAACACCGTGGGTCTTAGCTGACTGTATGTGTGTTGGTTTCGTTTTACAGAAAACGTGGCACATGCAGTGTGTAGTGTTTGTGGGCACTGGGTTGTGGGCACATTCACTACATTTAATGCACAATGACATGAGTCGATCTCATTTGTGCGTGCCCTGCACTGTGGCGGGCTGTGTTTGTGTGTAGAAATGAACACTGGGCTGTGGGCATTTTTATTATACTCATAACACCATCGGCTGTGGCCGGAATACCAGAAAATACACTGCTTATATGATTTTTCTGGGTCGCCGTGGAAACGGCATTTTTGTGCAGGCAAGCGGGCCATGGTACCGGCTTGTTTACTGCAAAATACACTGGAACAGTCGCATTTTCTTGGAACTGAACGAGCGAAAGGTTTGGTGCAAGTCTGGCCGCGGCGAGACTAAATTTTTATCTGCTGCGAGACCTGGGATCGAACACGGGTCTCCCGTGCGAAGGCTTTGGGTTTCGCCACTGAGCCACAGGGGGAAACGACAAAAGCTTAAAATAGCTCGAGCAGATAAGAGAGCGTCGTCACAGTTTGTGTGTGTTGGCGTTTGCTTGCAGGCGTGCGTGTTATACAACAGGCTCATTGCTGCAATATTGACATTTTCAGCCGCTCAAACTAAGAGGAGCTGAGAAATGTTTGAGAAATGGAGATTGGTCCGGCCTCGGCGGGACTAAAAACACACTCTTTCCTCATTTCGCCGGTGATGCATGCCCACGGGGGGCGGGGGCGGGGTAGCTTTCTTATAACGTTAAGAAAGCTAGCCGCGGTTTTGATGCTGGCCCGTTTCCCTGACGAATCGTGGGTAGAAGGGGGAGGTCCACAGAGCTCGCCCAATCCTCACTGTCCAATGCCAGGATAGAGCAGCTGGCCTTCTCTACAGATGCAGCTATCTCGTCGTCATTAATGGCGGAAGCGGCGGCGCGCGGCGGCCGTTGTCCGTCAGCGAGCGACTCGAGTGAAGCTGGTGAAGCTGGCGGGCGAACTGGCAAGCTATCACGGGCTGGAGAAGGCTCGGGCTGTTTCGTCGACCTCAATGGCGGAAGCGGCGGCAGACGGCGTCCGCTGTCCGTCGGTGAGGGACTCGAGCTTTGGCGGGCAGGAGAACGCCGCGGCGCTACAGCGGGCTGAAGTGCAGGCTCTGAGAATGATGCCAGGCGAGTCCTCAGAGTCACCATCGGCAGTAGCTCACAGTGAGGGCATCCGCCGTCGACGAGAGCGAGAGCCGCATGATCCTCACCCAGGCAGGAAACGCAGATGACATGGCGATCCTCTTCACTGAGTGTGGCTCGGCACGAGCCGCAGGATCTATGCATCTTGAAAAGACGCAGCTCTTTTAGGAGAGGGAGAGAGACAGTTAAAAAATGTGTGTCGCAGCGGCGAACACACACACACTTGCAGAAAAGGATATAACGCCGGAAAGCGTAGCAGGTACGGCAGCTAAAGGCGGCGATGCCAGCGACTTCAGACTCAAGGCTCGTCCCGCTGTATGCTTTTCTCAGACGGCGCGGCTTCTCACTCCGGATCCAGCGATGCGGTGATGCTTCGCTGAAGAGATGAAAATCAGTTGTACCAGCCTAATCGAGCTATATTTATAGGGCGAGACCACGCCCTTCCTGGCGGGACGTGACGAAAATGGGCGCATTAATTCAAAATTAAGGATAATTTTTGGCTTCAATATCTCGTGGAAAAGAGGTTTTCCCCATAGCGTAAGATATCACGCAGTACGAGAGATACTCTCGTAAGAGAACCTCCCCTTTCTCTGCTTTGCCCGCTCAGAGAATTTGGCTCGCCCATGAGAAAATGAGCTAGGAAGTATGAACGCGCGAGCGCGATTTTAATTTTTCCTTGAGAGATATCATGGCTTGCAAACGAGCAAAGCATGGCAGTTGATCAGTGTTCGGACACTGTACAAATGAACACAAAAGTATTTTTTAGTTCCTTCATCCGAGCCTCTGAAGAAACATTAATTTTATTTTCTCTGGAAATGCGCCGACACAACTTCCCAAAGTTTTGTATGGTCCAAACATTTCACCAACGACTGTTTCCTCAACTTGGGCCAATACAGAGCTGGCCTCGATGAACGTCTGAAAATAAATCGATCGAGCTACCAAGCAACAATTTCTGATGTGTAGCCTAATTGTTCAAGTTCAGACAGGTAAACAATTTCTGTGTTTTGCTACACTAATTCATAGCATTGTAATTTGTGGGAAGATGTTTTTGGTATGTTTAATTGGTGAGATTGGGGGTCGAAAGCTCTGTCCCCAAGTGAAGCTTTTTTTATTTATTTATTGATAATCCTGCATTAAAGGAAAACTTCACCGCTGGCCAAATAGGCACTTAAAGTCCCCCTGGTGAAAATCCAGCTTTTAATCTTGTTTATACACTCACCTAAAGGATTATTAGGAACACCATACTAATATTGTGTTTGACCCCCTTTCGCCTTCAGAACTGCCTTAATTCTACGTGGCATTGATTCAACAAGGTGCTGAAGCATTCTTTAGAAATGTTGGCCCATATGGATAGGATAGCATCTTGCAGTTGATGGAGATTTGTGGGATGCACATCCAGGGCACTGTAGACTTGGAATTAAAGCCTCTTTTGTTTCCCCGTTATTATTTGATTTACGGGACCGGACACCAGTTATTTTGCCAAGAAAGATTTTTATTCTTATATGTCAGGAGAGAAACTTTGAGAAGATGTTATATTCATGCCAGGTCTATGCGTTTCCGTGTTTCTCTGAGGTAGTACAGTAAGATTGAGCTTTTATACATCACAGAGAGTCTTACAGCTTCCTTGTAAGGTAACAAAACATGTTGCTCTGAGCTTCTTAAAATTAGAACGTATATGTCATACGTACACGTTATGTTTAACATGTCACAATTCACTTCCATATTAAGAACTATCCTTGTTGTTTACATCTGTGATACACTTACGTCAGTGGAACATGTTACATTGTACACACCCCTTAGCAAAATATAGCTTCCCCCTGTCTGACATATGATCATCTCATGAATCCATGCTATCTATAGTTTCCTCATGCATTCAAACTCATGCTTTTGAAACTTCATAAGATAATACAACTGATTATGAATATTAATAAAGAATAATAATACAGATACATCATATTTAATAATGAAATAATATTAAAAGATGAAATTTTAATCTTCATTTCCCTCCACTGGAACTACGGCCGTCAGTTCCACACCATCATTCCCAGGTGGCCAACCTATAGAAGTGATAGTGAGGAGAAGAAATAGCAGACCAAGAAAATAGACAGAAAGAACAGAAGAATGGAAACAGAAAAGGAAAAACAAAGAACAAAACCCCAACCCATGTTATGTCCCCGTATACTATGTGTATTTTAATATCTATGTGTATGTATTTAAAATGAACCCCAATCATCTAAGAAAAGAAAAACTAATAAGTCTTCTGCCCGTGCCTGAACTCATTAATTAATTAACTCGTTAATTAATTAAATCCTTCAGTTCCAAACCAAAACAAGAAATTAAAATAAACGTTGATGTTAAAGGATCCTATCCCTTGGGGTTGAAAATCAGTAAGCGGATGTTCATTGTTTATGAGGTAGTGTAGAATAACTTGCAACCATCTCTAATCAATGTCAATGGAATTGATTCCTGAAATGGAAGCAGAGAAATAATTAACATCACTTCTTTGTTCCCAATCTTTAAAACTAATGGATGAACATTGCTCAATCTCAGGCCATAAGCAACTAGCAGTGGGAGCGAAATACAACATGCTTCCATAATTCGTCGTTTGATTACAGCATGTTACTTACCCCGAGAAGCAGCCGTGATCAAAGTAAAATCACATCAATCTGACAAGTCCAAAGAAAGTCAAGGAAACACGGCAGCAGATGCAGCAGCTAGAGAAGCCGCTCTACTTCCTCTTACTCCTGTTACCTTGGTAAAGGAAAACAGCAAGGATAATCCATTATCATCTTGTTCATTCACTAAGCAAGGTTTAACTTGTGACCAATGATACCATCTATCTGTTCCTACACCCTTCCCTTTGAGACAAACACTTGTATCAGTAGTTAGGAGTATCTCATATGGTCCTTCCCATCTAGGCTCTAAACCTTTCCTAGCAATTCGTTTGATCATAACAAAACTGCCTAACTCGGTGGAATGTCAGTAGTGGTGTGTTTTTCATCCCATTGCTGTTGAGCTTCTCGCACTTTCTTATTATTGTCTTTAGTAGCTTTGTCCAGCATTGCGAGATAGCGTCGTAACTTTTCTTGGAACAAAGTAGAGTCTCCTCCTGTTCCCGCAGGTGGCGGAGCATCAGGAGGTAAAACCATTGCTCTTCCAGTCATTAGTTCAAAAGGGGTTAGTCCTGTTTTAATCCCTATCAATTTCATTGCTTCCTTCATCAGTTTTCCAGTGAAGTGAGTTCCATTGTCAGAATCAAGTTCATATGGAAGACCCCAGCGAGGAAAAACTTCTTCCACCATTACTCGTGCAGCCGCTTCAGCAGTGCAAGTTTTTGTAGGGAATGCTTCCACCCATCTAGTAAATCTGTCCATGATTACAAGTATGTATTGATACCCTCCACTGGGTGATAAAGGTCCTGTGAAATCAATTTGGAGGTGTGTCCATGGACCTGTTGGTCTGGGTGCATGTGACATTCGCACCTTTACAGATTTTCCCACATTTGCTTTGAGGCATATCAAGCATCTCCTACAGTAATCATCAATGTCTCTCATCATTCTTGGCCACCACCAAGTCTCACTGATTTGAGATTTCATTGCTTTTGCTCCAGCATGTACCTTTCCATAATACAGCTGCATTAGTTCTCTTCTTGTTCCGATAGGCATCACCACTTGTCCTGTTGGAATTCTCCAGATACCTTGATCATCCTCTTTCGCTCCCGCTTTTATCCATTGTTCTTTCTCTTCATCTGTCTCCAATTGATATGACAGAAGATGGAGCTCAGGATTATCCTTGCTGTTTTCCTTTACCGAGGTAACAGGAGTAAGAGGAAGTAGAGCGGCTTCTCTAGCTGCTGCATCTGCTGCCGTGTTTCCTTGACTTTCTTTGGACTTGTCAGATTGATGTGATTTTACTTTGATCACGGCTGCTTCTCGGGGTAAGTAACATGCTGTAATCAAACGACGAATTATGGAAGCATGTTGTATTTCGCTCCCACTGCTAGTGATAAGTCCACGTCTTTTCCACAGAGCAAGGTAGTCATGGACCACGCCAAAAGCATAACGACTATCTGTATAGATGTTGACTCGATCTCCTTCTGATAGTTCAAAGGCTTCTGTAAGTGCTATAAGTTCAGCTACTTGTGCTGAAAATTTCCCAGAAAGGGCTCCTTTCTTTACAACAGTTCCATCTCCTTTCACTACAGCCCATCCAGTATGTCGTTTTCCATCAACATAATAACTGGATCCATCAACCCATAACTCTTTGTCTGGGTTTTCAAGAGGGATTGGATTAACTGGACAAAGACTATCTTCTTCTACTTGTTTTTCACACTCATGTGGTATTCCCTCATGTGGTTCCAGCATCATTGTTGCAGGGTTAACAGACGTGTCCCTGATGATTTCCACTCTTAAATCCTTGTTCAACAAAGTTGCTTCCCATTTTGCTCTTCTTGCATCAGTTATGGTTTTGATGTTCGTGTTGTTCAACAGTGTCACTATACTGTGTGGAGTGTGCAATATGATAGTTTGTGCTCCTATCAGATTCTCAACAGCATCCACTGCCCATGTGGCACCAACGAGGGCTTGTATACATCGTGGTTGCCCAATCATAGTGACAGGAATCTTTGTGGAAAAGTATCCAACTGGTCTGTATCGATCACCTGGTTTTTGACACAGTACTGCTGAATATGTCTCGTCTCCCACCCTGGTCCACAAATGAAAATGCAACCGTCCGTCAGGAAGTCCCAAAGCTGGGGCTGAAGTCAGTTTTTCTTTCATAGAAGTAAACGCTTCCTCAGCTTCCGGTGTCATGGACAAGGTAGTCATGGACCACGCCAAAAGCATAACGACTATCTGTATAGATGTTGACTCGATCTCCTTCTGATAGTTCAAAGGCTTCTGTAAGTGCTATAAGTTCAGCTACTTGTGCTGAAAATTTCCCAGAAAGGGCTCCTTTCTTTACAACAGTTCCATCTCCTTTCACTACAGCCCATCCAGTATGTCGTTTTCCATCAACATAATAACTGGATCCATCAACCCATAACTCTTTGTCTGGGTTTTCAAGAGGGATTGGATTAACTGGACAAAGACTATCTTCTTCTACTTGTTTTTCACACTCATGTGGTATTCCCTCATGTGGTTCCAGCATCATTGTTGCAGGGTTAACAGACGTGTCCCTGATGATTTCCACTCTTAAATCCTTGTTCAACAAAGTTGCTTCCCATTTTGCTCTTCTTGCATCAGTTATGGTTTTGATGTTCGTGTTGTTCAACAGTGTCACTATACTGTGTGGAGTGTGCAATATGATAGTTTGTGCTCCTATCAGATTCTCAACAGCATCCACTGCCCATGTGGCACCAACGAGGGCTTGTATACATCGTGGTTGCCCAATCATAGTGACAGGAATCTTTGTGGAAAAGTATCCAACTGGTCTGTATCGATCACCTGGTTTTTGACACAGTACTGCTGAATATGTCTCGTCTCCCACCCTGGTCCACAAATGAAAATGCAACCGTCCGTCAGGAAGTCCCAAAGCTGGGGCTGAAGTCAGTTTTTCTTTCATAGAAGTAAACGCTTCCTCAGCTTCCGGTGTCCAGTTTATCTGTTCCACTCCAGGCTTTCCTCCCTTGTACAGGTCGATGATGGGGCTGGTGATACTAGCAAAATCAGGTATATACTGACGACAATAGTTGAAAAGTCCCATCACCTTCCGCATTCCTGTAACTGTTAGAGGTTTTGGAAGTTGTCGTAATGCCTCTACACGCTCTGTTGTCATTCTCCTTCCCTCCACAGATATTTCTTGGCCCAAATAGATAACCTTGGATTTGGCCAGCTGTGCTTTGTCGGGGTTAACTTTGAATCCCCCTTTCCTAAGGGCTTGTAGGACAACATTCAGAGCAAATACATGGCTGTTTTTATCTGGGCTTGCAATTAACAAGTCATCAACATATTGGAGGCAGACACTTCCTGATTTCTCAATTTCAGCTTTTTGCTCCGTTAAGAACTGGTCCAAAGCTCTATGAAATACAATAGGAGAAAGATTAAGACCTTGTGGGAGTCTGTTCCAAACATACTGTTTTGCGCCCACTGTGAAGGCTAATTTCTCTTGAGATCTTTTGTCTATAGGTATAGACCAGAAAGCCGACAGTACATCCAGTACCGTAAAAATTTTAGCATTTCCTGGAATATCATTCAGAATGGTGGCAGGATTGGCCACAATAGGATGCGGTTTTGGTGTTACACTGTTAAGTCTTGTGTAATCAATGGTTAGTCGCCATGAGTTATCAGATTTCTTGACAGGCCAGACAGGACTATTAGTGGTAGATAAAGTTTGTCTGATGATTCCTTCAGCTTCCAAGTCTGCCACTATCTCCTCCACGGCTCGTCTTGCTTCAGGTCGGATGGGGTATTGTTTATGAGGGGCATGTATCGGTCCCTCAATAACAATGGGATCAATGTTGGCTTTGCCACAATCCAATTTGTGTTTAGCCCAAACATCCGGATATAAACTGCACAGAAGACCCCACACACCGTCTTTTTTCCAGTTTCTGATAATTGGTTTTGCTGTACCAACAGACCTTAGATTACATGTGCGATCTTCGTGTGGTATTATCCCAGCTGTTGTAGCGATTTGACGACTGTCTGTAAATATGATCATGTTTAACAATGGAAGAATGTCCAGGCCAATAAGGCTTCCTTGTGAATTCGGCCCAACCCAGAAAGATGTCCATAAGACTTCATCTTCATGTATTTGCAGTGGAACTTGAATACTTTTGCGAAATTTTGTGATACCTCCTCCAACTTCCATAGTTTCATCTGTTGTAGGTAGGTTCAGATTTGTTATTGAAATCGCTGCTCCTGTGTCAACCAGGATGTCACATGGGTGGCCCCCTATTAATGTACTGACGAAAAGGCGATTGTCTCTTTTCTTACTAATACAGGGGGCCGCTGATTCCTATTGCGGATGCATAATTCCCTCAATGAGCTGACGGACTTGTGCTTCAGTCCACGTCTTCCCTTGAGGGGTTTCATTATGTTTTTTTGCACTGACCTGTCTAAATGATGGACCTTGACCTTCTGCTCCACCTCCTTTAGCCCAACAATCTATTTTGGAGTGTCCACGCTTTCCACAGTTGCTGCAGAAAATCACCCTATTCTTTGTGTCCTTGTTGTATTGAGCTGTTGCCACTCCTCTTCGATATGGCTTGTTTCCTTCTTCTTTATTTGATCTCATAGCCATCTCTAAGCGGCCAGCCCATTGCATAATTTGGTGAAATGTCTCACCTGGGTTGACTCCAAGTGATAAGGATTGTTGGTATTTTGTGCTAAGTCCATCCACAAGTGTGTCAGTGAACTGTACATCATCTCTGTCAGGTTGTTTCTTGGCACAGAGAGCCCATCTCTCATAAGCATTCCACTTACGTAGAGCATATTCATCTGGAGATTCATCATCCTTTTGCTTAATCAATGTCACTAATGTGAAAGGAATTTTACCACTGCCCAAGATTTCCTGGATTTCTTTTCGGAACACATCTAATGCTTGCCAAAGACCCAGGGGTCGTCCCTGGCCATCAACCCACAAATCTATCCATTGGGCGGTTGTTATCGAAGCTGGCAAGCGTTCCCATCTGTCTCTTGGGATTTTAGCTTTCACAATGATGTGTATGTCTCTTAATGTCATTTGATGTGCTTCAATCAATGAGTCTAATTCTCGCCAAAACTCTGTGTTTGGATCTTGTCTCTTCAGAGGAGGCAAGGCTTTGAGAACGGCTTGACGTTCTCCTGGTGTGAATGGTCTCTCTTCTGTCATCATTTCAGATCCTTCCCTTTTAATTACAGGTGAAGAAAATTCAGGACCAATCTTGTCAATTGTGATCATGTCGTCATCTCTTGTCTCATCACCCCAGTCAGAATCATAATTCCGAGCTGGTGTACATCGCAGCATGTCTCTGTTTGGCTGAACTGTTTTAGATCTTGTTATTACCGGAGCTGCTTGTGCAGATGCAATATACATTTTGTCAACTGGACCTCCATTTGATCTCGAAGCTTGAGGCTGTGTCAGAGGTTTAGATGAATTTGTATATTGTTCAGGCAAAATTGGATAAATTGGGTTGTAAGGAGGAGGCGTTACAGTTGTTGCAGATTTCACTGGTGCTTGTGAATATTTCTTTTCAGCTTCAGTTATTATATTTGTCCAATCTGGATCAAATGAATCATCATTGGTTGTATTTTCTCCATCTGAACATTTAATAGACATAATTTTGTTCAATTTGTTATATGCTTCAATTTGAGGCTTCATTGCTTCAACAAGTGGGACTGGGCACCCATTGATACCGCAACAAATTCCACCTTGTTTCAAAATCCAATGTGCGGCAAGGATTGGAAATACTTTTGACTTGATAGAGTCTTTTTGGGACTCAAGCCAGCTTAACTGCACATCGATAGGTGTGTTAATGTCCAGTCCTTTTTTCCAAAACTTAGCTTGCTTTTTCGGTTTTCTTTCTAGGTACCAAGCAGATATTGTTCTGCTGTTAAAGGCACTTTCTGCCATTGCAAATTATTTGTCACTCTGTGTCTGTGTGCGTGTGTGTGTGTGTGTGTGTATAGAGTGAATTCCAAAGGGAGGGGCTCTCTGCTTCCCTCACTCTGCTTAGCTCCCTCTGCTTTTCTCCCTTTCCACCTGTTCTAATTTCTCAAGAACAAAGAAGGGGTTGGGGAAACAAAAAAACAACTCTAATAATTTCTGTTTTCTTTTTTGTTTGTCTTAACTTAGATCAATTTTATATATATATATATATATATATATATATATATAGTGTGTGTATTTTAAAGTTGCTCTCAGATCAGTCTTTTCCTCCAAACACTGAACAGCTTTATTGTCAAAATCAGAATGCAAGCAATTCTAGCTTCTAATTCCATTGATACCCTTCTTCTAAGGGTTCAAACCTCTGCGTATTTAAGTTTTAGGATCTATTACGCCACTTTAAACCACTATAAATCACTGCTTGTCACACTATGCTCGTCTTCTTCTGAAACGATTCTTCGTGTATTGGATATATTTTAGATATATTTATATTTTAAATCTGCCCTTTATCGCAGTCTCGCAATATTCCAACCACCTTACAAGCTAATTGCTAAATCGCCTTACAGCTATTTCCAAAATTTGACTAAGATTTTCTAAAAAAGATCCACTTTCTAAAGTTTTTTCAAAAATGAAAAAGACTTCCCCAGCATCATTCAATATTCAGAGGTTTACTGACCAGAGCAACTCAAATAAGCCACATCAAATTCTAATTATTTAAATTATTTTCCTTTTTCTGACACATATATTCATTGGCAAAACAACTGGTACCGTATTTTCCGCACTATACGTATGGGATTAATATCCTGCCATGATTCAAAACTGAAAATAAAGTTCTAAAAGGTTGAAACTAAGTGTTCGAAAACTCAAAATCTTACAAAAAAAAGTTTTGCAAGATCGAAAAATAAGATTTGCAAGCTTGCAAAATGTAAACAAATTAAAAATATCTCTGCAAACATTGTTGTTTTTGAGATTTCCTTCTTCAGAACTGCAACATTTTTTTTACGATGTTGCGCAAGTTTCAAATTTGTCAGTGTTCTCCCACTGTATTAGTTTGTTTTCCAGGTTTGAAACCTTGTAAATGGTGATCTGAAAACTGGTGTGCGAA